TAGATATAGATATAGATATAGAGAAGGAACCCACGGAAAGGCCAGGTGTGGCGCGGTTCATGATGGTGTTCTGCAGCTCCAGCTCTTCCATGATAGTTTTCATGCCCTAGTCACGGCACAGAAAAAGGCAGTCTGCTGAATCAAACACTTTAGGGTTTAGGGATGCTGTGACAGGCTGAGGTGAAGGACATCTCTTGAGGACACATGAGAGGCGGCTTGCAGGCTCTCTGGACGCGATAGAAAAAACCTGACCTGAGATCCCATCGAACGCAATCCGACCTCCCGAACGCAGCTATTCCCCAGAACGGGTGTAATTCTGTGCCTAGGTGACATGCCAAGTTCTCCAGCTGAATCGCTCATTTAGAACACTAGCTGTCACTAGCTCCGAGCAACCTTGCCTCACAATCCTTCTTCACGTTGCCGAGATATCGTTGGGAATTTTTCAGCTCGGCGTCCTGCAAATGAGAATTTGGGCGAGAAAAGTTGTGCAAAATTCGTTGGGATGCCCATGTGCCAGATTAGCTAGACTGAAAGGACTAGAAGCCTAGTTGGTGTCAGTCTGTTGAGCGAAGATGGGCTGTCCAAAAGCATCTCCAGTCCTCGCAGTCTTATGAAGTTACACCGGGGGCAACTTGCAATTATAGTTATAGTACTTATAGACTTGTAGGGTACTCCTTCATGGTTTTGGCTGATGAGAGACGTGCTGGCGTCGTCTTGGCTCTCCACCATAAATACATCGCTTCGTCATGCCATCCCAAGAGAGAATACACCATTTTTCGAGCGGGTGAGAAGGGTGAGGCGCTTCAACTGCCACTGCCCGGCTCCTGCACAAAGAAAGGCAGCCGCACCTTGGGGTCCCTTTTGGGCTCAGGCGGCACCCGCCGCGATGGGAAAGACGTTGAAGGCGGCTTTCCTCTCTTCTCGAACCTCGTCGGGCAAAGATCTTGGCCGGTCTGGGGGTCGCCGGCCGGCAAGGAGAGACGACACGTGGGCATTTTGCTTCAGCTCCTGGGCCCAAGAGCGCACCTGCCTGTCCAAGGAGTCTGACTTCTCTGCCACTGGCTTCTCCTCGACCTTTCCCCCCACCTGCAGGTCCACCCCACCAACTAGAATGCAAGTGGTGCGGACAGCGTTGCAGTCGACAGCAGCCGCATTCCGCTTCTTCGTAGCCATGTCCAGCTTCTGCTGTGCAGAGGTCACATAAGTGTTGTAAGACTCCACTAAGGCTTTGTGCTTCTCGAGTAGCTGGTTGTATCTCGCTACTTCAGAGTTGTAGGATGCCACAGATGTGCTGCTGGACTGGTCGAGGGTCTTGCGAGTGGCCTCTATTGCGTCTTTCTGCCTCTCTGCCTTCATTCGAGACTCCTCCACGTGTAAATGTTTCTCTTTCCGGATTGCCTGCACCTCGGCCACAAGGGCATCCAGCTCCTTGTCCAGCTTGTTGAAGACAGTCTCTTCCCGAAGCCCGGTCTCATGTACTGCACGGAGGGCAGGCACATTCTCGTCCGGAAAATCCTTTGGCACAGAGAACTGCGGGATGCAGTGCCTTGTCGCAAGCTCTTTGGATCCGATGTGGTTCTCCAGCAGCCAGTTCGCCACTGCAAGTAAGGCTGCCATGCGCTTGCAGTGAAGAAGCTCTGGCACAAAGCGGCAGACTGCATCGTAGTTCCGGCTCAGATACTCGGCCACGCGTGCAGCTGAGGTGTGAGGCTGCGCATCTTTCGCATCCTCGAAGCTGTTCGTTTTGGCATTGAAGGACTGGGCCCGCACTTCACAGGCCATCTGCACATCCTCGGGGCAGATCAGGAGCGCGCTCCGACCCACCGGTCCTTGAGATGGCGGCCCTTATCGCAAGGGATCCCTCAATCCTGCCGGAAGTCTAAAAGAGACCCAGGAACGAAAAAGGATGGAGACGGCTTCAGCCCTGAAGCCCTAAAAGGGGCAAGGGTCGTGTGACCATGCTGCGGCACACGATCCAGAGCCGGGCGCAGCCTGCATCGCCTTGGCCGGCCTGTGAAGGCTTCAGATTTTGCGCCCCTTTTTGGAGGTCCTCACCCGAATCGCCCGAAACAGTACCCCCGGCCCCAAGCAGCGACACCTCGGGAAAGTCGGCCGGAACGTCTTCTCCACGCCTCAGAGCACGCCTGTGGCCAGTGGCATCATCATAGAACATACCTCACAATGGGTCTTGGAGCTCAGACTTGACTCAAGCGCAGCACGAAAGCAGCAAGGCACATCGTTGTTTAAAACTGCTTAGTGTGCCTTTGCAGGTCTAAGCGCTGCACCCTTGCAAAAGGGGGAGTGCTTGGGTAACTTTGGTATTTCTGGCTTGAAAAGAAGCTAGCCGGCCTTGAGAAAGCTGCTTCAGCTTCCAGTCCGCCCGCCACATCCAGTAACCCAGGGGCATTTCCCGCAAGGTTGTGTCGGAGTACCTTGGCGTGGGCAAGCCTAGCGAGGTTGGGACTGGTAAACATTCCGTACCGCCACTCGCCACCAACAGCGAGAGCCCAAATGTGAGGGAAGCTTACCGGTCCCAGCCTCAGCAATATTGCCCGGCATTGGAAGAATTGGGTCAGCTGGCTACTGTCAGTGACTGCCGTTTGCGAAAACTACCACACCAAGTACACGTTTTCACTGGTTTCTCCCTGTGTCTTATGAGCAGACGCACGAAGTATCCCGAAGCTCTTTCCTGTCCACGGGACCATTTCCGCTGAAAGAGGCCGTCAACAGAGTCGCCGCGCTCCTTCAAGAGTGTCTGGAGGGCACCGCGGCTCATTGTTTCAGAGTTCACGGTTTAGGGTTTAGGGTTTAGGGTTTAGGGTTTACGGCTTAGGGTTTACGGCTTAGGGTTTAGGGTTTAGGGTTTAGGGTTTAGGGTAGCTTTCACACGAGGTTTATTGCTTTGTCTCATCGATAGAAGACCTCACAGTGCTCTGGGTTCGTCTCCAGGCATGACTCCTTGGAAGATATTTGATAGTGATGCAGCTGCTGGAAAGGCCTTTATCTTCATCCCCCAACACTTTCAGCAATTGCCTAGCATAGATAACTCATAGCCCTTACCCACGCCTTTGCCAATCAGCCGCTGTCGAGAAGATGAAAAGAACATGTGAGTAACAGGATAGGGAGTACGGCCACGGCCTCGAAAACTTTTGTAATCGACTAAACCGTGCGCCACATTGTTTGGTGTAGCACGCTGCTATCTAGTTCAGTATGTGTCTATGTTGATATATGCTCTGCAGCGCGTCTGACATAGAGTCTTCTGCTATACATACATGATACTGGTTTCTTTATGTGTCTCTACATCTGCTTGATAAATTCTATTTTCTTGCGTATTTGTAATGGTGCTTTCATAAATCCGTTTATCAAGAGCTCCTGCCAGCGCTTCGGATCCACGGGGTCCAGGCTAAAGGCAACCTGAAGTTGCGGAAAAATACTGGGCTTCTGGTTGAAGTCTGGTTTAAGGTTTAAGCTTTAGCTCTTCGGGGTCTCTTAAGGGCTTAGGGTCTTAGGGTTTTAGGTTTGGGAGGAGGGGTTCCAAAGACTCGAAGGTGAGGTTTTGAGACCCTTAAGGGGTTAGAGCTGCTGCTAGGGTTCGTGGTCTGGGGCTGGGGATTTGAGTGTGGCGGCTTAGAGTTGTGAATTTGGAGCTTTGGGGGTTTACGGCGTTAGGGCTCAAGTGTTTGAGCTGAACGCTTTGGGTCTTACAGAGGGTTTATGACGAACAAGGCTCGGGGCCTAGGGTTCTCAGGCGCAGATTTAGGGCTTAGGGTTTAGGGTTTATAGAGGTTGATGTTCGAACATCCGCAAACGGAACAACTTGACAACTTCCCTCCCAGGGTGTGGCCCACTGCCGTCAATGGGTCATAGCCAGAGAACGGGCTGGGGGTTTAGGCTCACGGCCCAAGAAACTTCGTTGCAACGACGCCGACGGCATGACCCTTCCATCTAAGCAGGCGTGTCCCACACTCAGCACGCACAGCTTTCCGCTTTTTTTGTATACTACCCTAAATCCTATGCAAAGTCTCTCGGGGCTCAAACCTGCCCGGCCCGCCGCGGATTTCTTCGTGCCCATTCCAGGGTGGTTCCGATCCTTAGAGTTTCAGGGGTTTTGGTGGGTTCAGGGGTTTAGGGCCTTTAGGGGTTTAGGGGTTTAGGGGTTCGGGGGTTTCGGGGTTTGGGGGTTTAGGGTTTAGGGGTTTAGGGGGATGTGCGCCATAAGGGCAAGCAAGATGAGCACGAATGCTATTTCCAATGTTGGAAACCACAGTGAATTGGGCGTTCAGATGGAGTTCACTCTCGGGTGGGAGGTTTGATGTTGACTTGCCACATGGATCTGTGAGAATGAAGATGACTTCCAGGCATGCAGGTCCGAATTTTGAAGCGGTCACCTACACTCCACATCCTTAACTTGGAAGCTCGTGTAAGGTGGGCCTGGCAGAGGTATAGATACATCTTTCTTGGCGGCAGCGCCCGACACAAGGCTGGTGCAATAGGTTCGATTATGTCTGGAAGATGATGGCCACTAGTCTGCTGGACCAGGTTGCGCTATCGCTATTGCCATGGCGGCCATGGCTCTCTGTGGCAGTGAAGGCCATGTCACCGTCATGGGAAGACGGCATCTGAAACAGCAGGCCTGAAGCTTTGTCGTAGTGAAGCAGCACGGCACTCCTGCTTTCAGGCAGCTTCGGTTTGCCCGGTGCCGGCGCCACGGCCAAGTCTACTCCTCCAAGTCCTTTGGTGCGTGCAGCAGGTTCGAAGGGGAGTGAGGGCCGCCGCGCTTCCGAAGGCTTTGGCTTTCTTTGTGCCGGCTTGTTGAAGCCTGGCTGTGCTGTGTTCTCCAGATTGCTAGAAACGTCCTCCACGAATCTCTTCATCGCGGCCAGCTCGGCTTCGATGCGCAGGCCGATGGTGATCCAAACAGGCCCGACCTTCACACAGGCCGAAACCTTCTCCGGCTCTTTCTTTCCCGGCTTCTCTTCTCCACTCTTGGGCCGCTGGGTACCGGAGCCAAGAGGCTTGGGAGCGCTCTGTGTCTGGCCCTGGCTGTACCTTCGATCCGGAGCTCCCCAGGGTCCCACGGCTTGGCCTCCTTGGGGGGGCGCCATGGCTGTGATCAAACGAATTGGGGGAGATGCTGCTTTGCAGCTGGGAGGCTCGAGCAGCGTGGCAGAGAGCGCACACCAAGGATCACCGGGCTTTCTGTTGGCAGCCCTACCGGCAGGGCCTGAAACGTCCAGATGTAAGCTCTCCAGTGGCTGTTGACGACGCTTATTACATCACTGGTCAAAGAACTCTCAAACTCTGCACGAGCACGACATGTCGGGAAGCGTCATCACTCGAGCCTTGGAGACAGGAGGACCAGCATCCAAAAAGTGCACTAGCTATCCTTCCTCAGCTAGTTACTGTTTATTAAGTTGGGTAAAACCGTCAACGCTTGAGGCCCGCGGAGTTGCTACTCTGCAAGCCTCACTTCAAGAATCAATAACAGGCATTCGCCGATCGAGAACTTTTCAACAAACATTCGGGAAGGAGGGCCCATACCAAAAACGCTGCCTCTTTTCTCCTCCAAGCTTCGTCAGGGAAGTTAAACCCCGAAACTCCTAACCCCCAAAAACCCTTAAGTTTCCTAAATCCCAACATCCCTCTATACAACTTAGCCACAGTCCTGGCGTTTGATCTGCGCTGAGAGGATGGTGTGGAGGGACTTCTGCTCCTCCAGCTGCTTGTCGAGTTGCTCGACCTTTGCCCAAGGTTGCGGTTTTAGGCCTGGGCCAAAAACCAACATGATTCCTTAGGGCTCCTTATTATAATTCTAGTATACAAGAGCCCCAAAACCCGAGTCAATAACCAACACAAAGGAGCCCAAGATCGCGAAACGTCGCTCCAACCCCGGACAGATCGGCGTCCAAAACGCTTGGGAATGCTTGGGAAACTTTCAGGCAACGAATATGCTCTACGATGCTCCAAGCTCCCAGACCCTGAAACCTTGAATTTCCGTGCTGGCCTTGCGATTGAATTCCTCCTTCTCTTCGATCGTCCGCTCCCCGGACACCCGAGCGACCTGCAGAATCAGTTCTACATGAAGTTGAAGTGCTGATCCTCTCAGCCGCAAGCAAGCTGCACTCGAGTCGAAAGCCGAAGGACAGACCAAGACCCAACTGCCAGTGCCTTGCGCTGCATGAGCTGCGACTGGAAGTCGACAGCGTACAACAGCTCCTGCTCCCAAGCTAGATGAATTCAAGGCTTTCGGGATGACTGGGAGAATGGAAATAGATTGAAAGCCTTACACATGACTTGTCAAAATCGGGTCGCAACCAGAAGACAGGGTCGCTGAATGTATCACAGACAGGGCACGCACAGCTTTCAAGCGATCAACATCGCTGCTATCAACAACATGTTGTTGCGACAAATCTGGCCATAGATGGGTATGCCGTTATACATGTGACGGTAGCTTGTCCTACGTTGCATTGGCTCTATCAGAGAAGCTTGATTCAATCGATGCACACGAGGCATATCGGGAGCACTGCAGTGGCAAGCATCAGAGAAGCGGTGCCTACCTTGCTGAGCATTCATGGATGAAACTTCCCCTTGCGCACTTACAGCATGGCCATCATCTGCGGATGCGGAGGTGGACGATCTTTAGCCTGTCTCCATTCAAGTGACTTCCAGATCCCTCAGTGGGGGCTAACCTGCTGCCGCTGCCGTTCTTGGTCGAGCTTGCTAATCTGCAGCTGCAGGTTCTTGATTGCCGACCTGGCGTTATCGGCCAAAGATCGGGAAACTGCCAGCAGCACTCCATACACTCATAGATACTTTATGCAGTACATCCGCTGGAATACCCAAGGTTTCACGCAGGACCTCAACTAAAGGCAATGTCATGCGAGGCCCGGGCTGTGCTCCGCTGATGGCTCCCAGGGTGGTCGCCTGGTGATCTCGCTTTGTTTTGGTGGGCCCATTTCTTGTCCTTCTCAGTTTCGCTGAGGGCTCTAGGACGTTGTGGTAAAGGAACTCCGGTGCATGCCCCTATGGAGTGTGAGGGCTTCGACATGACGCTGAGGACGATCAAACCACAAAGCACAAGACGCACAACAAAATGCCCACGAGCCCTGCGCCTCTTCGGCCCGAAGGCGATAGAGCTCCTGGCTCTCCTTGTAGTGGCTTTCCTGGCGCCGTCGATGCTTTGAATGTAGGGGTTCGGGGTTTGACCCTGCGATGTTTCGAGATCGTGGTCAGAGCTTAAGAGTTTAGGGGTATAGGTGTTGAGTAGGGTCGACTTTGGTGACCGAGGCTCTCATTGCTTGGGTTTCTCTTTGGGGTGTTTCCTCTATGCTCTGTGCATAAACCCACTTGAGTGAGACCTCTGGGATGCGAGTTCCCGAACAGGTGACTTTTCCCAAGAACTGGCATCAAGGCTCTTTGATGGGTCCGCCAGGTTCGCGAAAGTCGATTGATATTTGGGCTGGCCATATCCCGCGTGTTTTAACTTCGGGATGTGCACTGCGTTTGCCCCAGGATGACCTTGATCTGCCAAGAGCATGCTCGATGCGGCGTCCGTTTCTGACGGGGCCTTGGCAGCTTTCATCTCCTTCTCCACCATCTTCCTCAGAAGCCACCCAAGTTTGAAAGCAGCGCTCAAGGCTACACTTACACAGCCCAAAGACGACGATGACGACAACGACAACAACAACAACGACGACAACAGCAGCA